GCAGAGCTGAGGAAACACAGACAAAGAGAGAAGTTGGCAGGGAGGGGTGCGGGCTGCGGAGGAACTGAAAGCGCCTGGGGATCCTGGGCCCCTCGTCCCGCTGCCCTGAGGCCCACCAGAGCCCGGATCCCCCTTCCCCTGCCGGGATGCTGCTCCCTCTGCTGCTCCTCCCCTGGGCATGGGGGGCCCTGGCCGGTAAGTGGGGACCCCCCCTGCCGTTTTTGCTGACGGGATGCGTGGGGATGGTGTAGTACTAGGGGCAGGGTGGGGAAGTACCAGGCTAGGGGAGTAGGACGGGGGAGGCAGGTTAGGGATCACCAGGGAGACCCCGTAGTGCAGGATTGTTTACGGGACAGAGACTCATTAATCTCTCTCCCCACCTGCTTTGTCCTCCACCTGTTTCCTGCCCCCTGCCCCAGCCTCCCCTCCTGTCCCCCCAGCGTCTGTCACCCTCCGGCTGCTCCAAATCAACGTCTTCTACAACGCCAGCTCCACAGACATGCAGGGGATGGCCCTGCTGGGCGACCTGGAGACCCACTCCCTGGACTGCAGCACCTGCGAGCTCCGCTTCCTGCAGCCCTGGGCCCAGCAGGGCCTGACCCCGAAGCAGTGGCAGGACCTGGAGCTGGTGATCCATCGCTCCCTGTTCAGCTTCAGCCGGACTGTGAACACAATAGCCCAGCAGCAGGGAATGAGCTGTGAGTATGGAGGTCTAAGGGGATCCCTCCCCCCACCCACCCGGGGTGCTGAGAACTGACACACTCACCACAGCCACTGAGTGTGTCACTGGGGGCAAGACAGCCAGTCCCTGGCCCTTTGGTTGATTGGAGCCGGCATCCCCCAGAGGGGAAACACCCGTGTCCCATTCTCCACCCAGGTCTGGGGCCAGATTGTAGCCTGAACTTCCTAGAGGGGAAAGGCCCCGTGTCCCACTCCCTGAGCCGAGGCTCCTAGTGTTTCCTGACACGTACCCTGACCCTTTGAAAGCAGGTCATTTGGGGGGGGGTCTGTATCACAGGAACCCCGTGACCAAGGGACCCCAAATTTGCATCACAAACTCTGCCTCAGGCACCGATATAACACAGCGATTTTCAAGCCAATCTGACTATGCCCGTGAAAAATCAGCTTTAAACAGAAACTGCAACTTACCCCTAACTCCAGCCAGGGCCGCCCCACAATCCTGCCGCCGTTGTGTGGTCCAACATCCTCGTGGCACCTGACGTTATGTCTTTACTCCCCCCGTGTCTCTGTTTCTGCCCCCTCCTGGGATCTCCAGACGTCCGTCCTCATCCCCCTGCCCTTCCTGTTCCAGACCCCTTTTTTACCCAGGGCTCCCTTGGCTGCGAGCTGCACCCCAACGGCACCTCGAGGGGATTCTATGACTCCGGATTGAACAGCGAGGACTTCATCAGCTTTGACCCGGATGCAGGGAAATGGGTTGCTCGGCGGGGGGATAAGCTGGCGCTCTACGCCCGGGACCTTCTCAACCGGGATAAGGGCACAGCCATCAACATTCAGTTTTTCCTGAGAACGTGTGTCAGTCAGCTCGAGAGCTTTGTCCAGTACGGGAACGAGTCTCTGGAGAGACAAGGTGAGGCTGGACACCACTCACTGCCATGCAGCCACCTCTGGGGTACTGTGTGTTTGCTGTTTACACAGGGATCCCGCACCCAGTGCTCATATGCAGCTATCTCAGGTTGGCCAGGGCGGCTGCTTATACAAAGATGCCTCGCCTGGTACTGAGATGCAGCCACCTCTGGGTTGGGGCAGGGGGCTGTTTATCCAGGGACCCCTTGCCTGGTGTACAAATGCAGCTATATCTGTGGTGCAGCACAGTAGCCATTTCATAGCCGCACTGCACAGCAATGTCACCACTGGTAACTGCAGGATCTGGCCAGGACAGCAGGGCCAACG